TACCTCTTTGTGTCAGTATGGATACATTGCTCGACCAGATTGGTACATTACCGCAAGCGTTATTGCGAATAATGATGAAAAGAAATTATATAAATTAATTTCGAATAAAAATAGTTACCTGTAGTCTATCACCTTCTCACTCATAATCGTTGCAGAATATCACTTTTTCACACGTAAACGTTGCGTTACAGAAAGCTCTTACCTCTTCTTTTTTAACACTAACACGCTTGATTCGAATAGTTAAATGTGATTGTCACTGTATTTCAGTCCATTTTTATACCATGAGAAGCAGATGGACTAGATGAAAATTACCCCCATCCTCCTAATTTTCTATCCATTCAAAACAATCGACTGTATAAGGCAACACATTTTTAGTAAACGCTTTAGTGAATTATTAAAATTTGATGATTCCACAAGTATTTAAAAGATTATCAGTGATTGATCTTTAAAGATTAAACTATCAATTTAACGTACTTTGTTTGTTGTAATCATTTTTCATCAAAATGGGACAGAAAAATAGTGTACCTTACACGCGTCTTCCCGACATTAGTAAAAGTTCCAATGCAAATGATAAGAAAACAAAACCGTCTTTGCAATGGAAATCATACACTGAAAATTATTTAACCAACACCAAATCTATACCAAAGTCAGAAGGATATAAAAAACTTTAAACTTTAACTTCTACATACAACATGTTAAACTCTTCATATGAACAAATAAATGGAAATTTTTTATAATATATCAACTTATTCTTTCATGGCAGTCATATCCTTATACCCTTCCATTTGGGTAAAAATAAAATAAATAATTCTGGAAAATAAGACAATATCTATCATTAATAAAAAATATAATATTAATAAAAAAATTTATATATCAGCAATATGGGCAATCTATCCCGCGCCCCTCGTGCGTTCGCCAGACTACGCTATGCCACTTGAACCATCACCATTCTTTCAGAGAGTACTAGTCACTATGCGCGTTGCGTATTCTTAATATCCATCATCTCTGATAGATATTCATATTCTGTAATATAATTAAATGTATAAAAATTGGTAAAGATTGTTAAAAAAATTTATTTTGTGGCTATGTATAAATAATTAGAATTTGCTATAAAAATAAGACAGACCATTTTATCAATTAACGAAATGGTAATTCTTGATTTATGATAATTGGGGACATATATATAATTATTTAAAAAAAAATGATCACGTTAGTCTTTTATTTCAACCTAGTGCATATAACTTAATTAAAAAACACCTACCATATACTTACCTATTGACTTTGCTGCAAATTGGGTAGAAAAAAAGAAAAAATACCAGGCAAAGTTTTTAATAATTCTTGCGATTTAGCACTGAAAATTGCTGTTCTATAGAAATTCAATAAGTTTTTTCAAATAAAATTCATTTATTTATTGAAAAAAAATATTTTGTCAGATGATGTTATTTAGCACTGAAAAGTGCTGTTTTATATTTCAATTGAACGAAAAAAATGTTTGAATAGCTGTGCGATCGTCTTGAAAAAATGATCTTCAAAAAGGATCGTTCAAGTCGTCGCAGCTATACCACCCATGACCTATTCGTTGATTTTTATGACTGGCCTGCTATGTGAAAAGCCGTTGAGCTGACGTTTACGTCTTGCCTGCTGCGTAAAATATTAAAAAACATATTAATATACCTATGCCAAGATGCTCCGCACAAATTCTTTTTGACTTAGCTACTCCCACTATTAATTATATTCGACTTATGCCCGCGATAAAATCAGTGCTCTTGCATAATCACAGCCTCGACTAGTGGACCAATAATTGACGCACGCTCAAATTTGGTGGAAATGAATAAAATATCCCTCAGTTTGCTTCATTGCATCAGTATACGTTTTTTAAGAGTTAAAACTACAAGTCTAAGTGTAAAGTGCAACAATATGCAGTGCGGAGATATTGTGAATGAATTTTTTTTCGCCGGGAAGTGAGTTGTGGAAGGATGTTCTCAACCGAGCTATTGAAGCTTTGGGAGAAGACTCCCGCATAAATGATGAATTCGACGCTGTGAAGCAAGAGATCACCATGCGCTACAGATACCTGTAGGAGAACCGAATGAAGTGGAAGAGCCATCGATTCATTCGGCGCAAACAATATAAATGCCGTTAACACCGCCTCAATCAATTAGGTAAGTTTATTCGTTTAATTACTTATTTGGTCTTTTTCTTTTATTTCCCACTATTTCTCTTACACTATTTTTTCATTACGAAATTTACAAGGCAAGTCGACGATTGCGCATATAACTATTTTACACATAAACTATTGTGTATAGTATAGTATGGTAGAGAGTATAAATTAATTTTCATGTATGTTATGATGCATAAGAGTTTACATGTAAAAATAATTATTTCCTCAATTATCAGTTTGTATTTTATAATGCTTTATTTTATTGAATAATACTTTTTTACCTCTCTCTTGCATTATGAATTTAGTAATGTTTTATTAAAATTATGTAAAATAAAATATTAAAAAAGTTATACGGATGAACTCCGGGGGGGGGGGGGGGGCGTGCTCGTCACTTTTTGGCTGTATAGCTAATATACGCAATAAGAGCTGTCAAGAGCTAAAAGTAGTCGTGGCTTAGTTGCTAGAGGCTACGGTCTATCGATCCATAAAACGGGAAATCGATTCCCCGTGGTGTCTGCTCATCTTTTTCTCTGAGCTAAATCTGTATTACACTGTATATCGTATGTCTCCGTCCACTGCATCTATCTAATTGAAATTTTGACTATATTGCGCTCGCTTTTAAGCTTTCAAGACCCTATCAGCGTGCGAGTATTTATCTTTATTACCTAAGGGAGAGAGGGTGTCTGCTCCTTGTGCGTGCTTCTAGCGAGCGAATTTGAAGAAAATTTTCGACGAGTCTATTCAAACAGTCTTTCGACTTTCCGCGGTGACTGTCTATAACACCTGCAACGGCTCATATCTAGTGTCATCCTCAATCATCAGGTATGTTTAGTTTTGTCTGGTTTTGAAAGTCGGTAGTGCACGAATGTGCGATGGATTCCTTTTATAAATTTATTATAAAAAAGATAAGTTAAAGCTAAATCGTTTAAAATTGTTTTTTGTGAGGCTGATTTTAAAATCGAAAATTCGTGTTTTTGTGAAAAATGTTTCAGATCAAAGTTGTTTACGACAAAGGGGGCCATCTATCTGTATAATTAGTTTTGACCTTGAACATCGTTTTCAAGGTCATTTGAAGGTTGAATTGTTTTTTTTAAATGGGAACCCCTCTTTTTGACCCCGGATTCGCACATAGCACGAAATCCGACGTTTGGATAAGGTATTATGTTGAGTTTCGCGCTATGTGCGAATCCGGGGTCAAAAAGAGGGGTTTCCATTACAAAAAACACTTCGTCCTTGAAATGACCTTCAAAATGAGGTTAAAGGTCAAAGGTTTTTGGTGCATTGGGTGGCCCACTCTGTTCTGAACAAATTTTGTAGAGGTCATTTTTCGATATCTTAAAAATTAAAAAAACGCTTTTAGGCAGTTTTTCAAGCATTTGACTTTAAATAGACCTTCTCAAGGCCATGAAAAAAAATTTAAAAATACCGTTTTGGACGTAAAATTTCCCGCTCTTTCCGAATCCGGTGTCAAAAATAGGGGTTCCCATTTAAAAAAAACAATTCGACCTTCAAATGACCTTGAAAACGATGTTCAAGGTCACAACTAATTATACAGATAGATGGCCCTCTTTGTCGTAAACAACTTTCATCTAAAATATTTTTCACAAACACACGAATTTTGGATTTTAAAATGGCTGTATGGATATATATATATATATATATATATATATATATATATATATATATATATATGTATATATATATATATAAGTCTTTCTAAAAAAGATGATATCGCCTCCTCGTCCCATGGAACAGCTACTAAGAGGATCCATGTTTGATCCTCACTTTGTAGATCCCCGACAATACACGGGGTATGGTCAGATCGTGTATGATCTCCCGCTATTATCCTTTGCTTCCTACTCGGAACTTATAAAGTTGGTGGGAAAGAAGCAAAAGCTAGTGCATGAGAAGCAGCAACTGGCGGAAACAAATGTAAGTTTTCCTTTTCTTTATATGTGTGTGTGTCTGTCTATGTGCGCGCGTGTGTATGTATATGTGTGTGTATTTTGTTACTATTGAAAATGATAATTCTTTTTTTTCTTTTACAGGCTGAAGCTTTTGGCTTTAGTTTCTTCTGTGCGCTGAGGTTGACTCGCGTGCTGTGGAAGATACAGGAGTCCCGAGAGAAGGACAAGTTTGTCGTCGTGCACAAGGTCGAAGTTGTCGCTATGCATAGCAAGAGGATGCGACGCAAAAGGCGGACTCGGTGGAATACATGTACAAGCGCTGTCCCACCGATTCATGCTCCTCTCTCCAATGATCAAGAAATCATTGAAATCATCGGGAATCATCCCTCTCTTCGGCTCTACCGAGGCAAAGTTGGAAAACCTTTTACTCCACCACCACTATCACCAACACTACCGCTCCAAAGAAGATTTTTCGCCAACGTTGAAAATAATCAAACGTAGTGATGGTAGTATATTTTTAATACTGTTCAAATTACGTATATATTTTGTTTTATATATTTATATATATTATTTTTTAATCACAATTATTGAGAAAATAATGTAATATTTAATTCAACGACCTATCCGCCCTACCCACTCCTTATATAATTTATACTTTATTACTTCAATCAAGATTTTTTAAATATTAAATATATATTAATAATAATATTAATAATTAATATTAATTGATCACAAAGTGTATTGATCAAATTCGATTCAGCGTCCTATCCCGGAACATTCTTTATATATGTAGTTTATTTATTAAATAAAATAAAATTCATTTATATATTAAATAAATTTTAACTTATAAAGAATAGACATTCTATGACTCGGATAAACTGCCAAAAATAGTTGTGTAAATATATTTTGATAACATATTTTATTTTTTTCAGGATGACCTCGCTAAAGATCAAATAGTCCGTAAGTATCAGAAATTTTGATCAAATTAATTGATATCAATCATGTAATTTAACTATTTTATTGCAGACTTGAGTATTGGGTATTGAATGTAGAGTCTAAAATATTTAGTTCAATCCTCAATTTCTTTCCACTATCCACGCAGAAATATTAAATCAATAAGATACTTTTTTGTAGTAGTGTCGCGGAGATATTTTCCTTGACAGTATCCAAACGGCAATAAAATCTATAGTGCAAATTCATATAAGTGTGCATTCCTTTTTTTATTACGCTCTTCCGCCTCTTGCACTTACATACAAAGTGCATGCAGCCTCCGAATACGTGAGCGCCGAGATGCCGATAAGAGAAAAGGGCCATAAAACCACGTCTGCATTCTGTTTTCATCATGACTAACGAATGTTTCCCTTTCAAACTAGAAATCAAGCATTAGAAATCATGATATAATTTTTTTTGAATTTGAATATTTTAGCTTAGCAATATGTCAGACATAATTTTGGCCTCTCAAAATCTCTCATCGAGTTTTCGCTCCGGAACTTAGTTTTAAGCAGAAAATAGAAAGTAAAAAAATAAACGTTAATTTTAATGAATTCAATGTTACTTACAAGGGAAGGCAGGGAGGTGTCCGTCACCGATTTTCTTTAAACTTTGCATACGATTAGAGTATCGAAAAATATTGGACAAGTATTTTTTTGTAGCGGCCCATACGGTAATTTAGGTGGTAAAAACAGGGTTGCCAATTATAATTATCTACATACGCTTGAAGTGCATAAGTTGGCGAGACGCTAAATTCAAATTATCATATCTCGATGAAAGAACAAGATATCTGTACGATTCAAAATTCATTTTGAAGGGAAAGACTCATATTTAAGATATATTAATTAGTTTGACCGAAAAAAATTATCTTATGATCTTACATAACCTCAAATATGTGTAAAAGTCGTGTTTTTTGCACTTGAAAAGATTTATAGTGTTTCTTTTGTAATGTTTTTCGTTCTTTCAAATGGGAAACTCAGTTTTTTGGGTCCAATTCCAAAAATTGGCCCAAATCTGGCTCTACTTGAAAATTTCAAATGGAAACTACTGTTGCTTATGGCAGATTCGAATTATGGGGGAAATTACACGTTCAAACGTGATATCAAATTTTACCGAAAAAATTTGTATTTTGAGTCCCAAAGTGGCAATAAAAAAACATTTTATTATATATCTTGTTTATTATAAATATTATTTATTTATTTTTTTTAATCATTACATTCATATACATATTAACATATATAAAATACAACTTTCTATTTATCCCGTACATATGTTTGATATTTTTGAGAATTATTTTATATAATTATAGTATATAATTCTTACAATAATGATACTCTGTAAAAAAATGATTGAAGCATAACTTTTTTTTACACCAACTACAAATTATAATTGCAATGTTATCTTCGTAGGTACATACAGGTTCTTCTTTTGTGGCAAAGCAAAATTCAACAGGATTATCAAATTTTTGAGGTCTATCAATATAACCACTTTTGAACCATGCATACTTAAAAGTATTATGATACCTCGGAGAAGATAACTGATTGTGTACGAGGGATTACATTTTTATGATAAAATTTCTTTCGTGTAAATTGATATTGTATTGCATTAAAATAATAAAATCAGATAGCTTTCTTACAAAATTTTTCCAGAATCGAAAATCATAAATATCCAAAGGCTGAATTTTACCTGTAGTGCCAGGCGGTATTGTCATTACCATTAAACTTACTTGTTCCGGTACAACTTCTTGTATGGTATTATTACATTGCCCACTCCAAGAGTCTAAAAGTAAGACCGATGAATTCCCAGTATTTTTTAAAAATATTTCTTGCATCCACGTCTGAAGCAGTTGCTTAGAAAGCTTTCCAGATGTAGAAGCTCATATTAATACATTTTCTGGTGTAAATAATGTCTGTCTAACTCGAGGCCCAAAATCTCCACTTGCTTCTTTCAATACTAAAAATAAAGGTGAAAGCAAATTACCCTCTGCTGATATAACAGGTTGAATAGTGTAGCTGTGTGTTAAGGAAGACAGTGATTGTGCTATGCTTTGAATTTCTTTCAGTCCTCTATAATTTAATGTTCTACCGCTGTGAATCTCCAAATTAAATCCGCTCTGATCAGAATTATATACATTGCTTGCACCGTATCTTGTAAGCAATTGTTTAATTTCAACTCTAAAAGTTTCACATTGATTTTCAATTTCATGAATATTTTTCAATGAATCTGTTGTAACAAATTTAGTGATTTTTCGAGATACTATATTATGTTTTTTTTTAAATTGCCAGATCCACCAATTCGATGCTTTGAACAAAGGCATAGCTATTTCAGCTTTTTTTTGTAAAGCCCAGCTTTTCAAATCAATATCATGTAGTCATCTTCGATATCATAGCTTCATTAAAATAATTAAAAACATAATCTGATATCTTGAATAATTTATCATATCTACTGCCTCCTGCTTCAACTTGCTGTTTCCATCGTCGTAATTGCCTCTCGCTAGTTACTTGTTTGTATTTGTGCTGTACAGTATTAAATGAATAAGGCTTACCTATTCCACTCAACCAAAACCTTACTGCTTCTTCTGAATATTTAAAGTCAATTTTGTCTTGCTCACATGGATTATTTAATTCTTCTAGAAAATCCTCAGATTCTTCGTTTTCCATGTACTTGTTATGTCTAGGCGAGGAGATGTTACAGCCAGACGTAACAATATATTCAAGTATTGTCGCGTTGGTAAAGGTTGGATCTTAGTCAGGAGTTAAGCAGAGGTTGGTTAAAGGGATAGCGCCTTTATTATACGTAGGGCGTTTTAAGTAGATAAAATAGTTTCTTACCTTATTAGGATTGGATTTCAGAAGAGGTTTTTTTACGAACAGTCTTAGGTGTTTGCGCTTGATTTAAGGTTTATTGTTTAAAGTTAATTATAATACTTAACAGAGTATAATCCTGGTTCTAAGTAGCCGGATAGTTAGACTTAAAAAATAACCTTGCGAAACTACCAAAATGCTGAATCGTCAACTGTGTACTACGTACTGTATACTATATACTGCTTGTGCGAATTCCAATCCAGCCTTTTTATACCGTAGGCTGAGATGGCCCTTCCTGTGTTTTCGCTAATTTAATATGCGGTGAGTAATATTCGCGGAAATATTATGGAGACGTGCTTAGACTAATCTATCCCGCTAGATAGATTTACAAATCTTCCCGGGAGGGTTGGTACAATAGAAAACTAAATTATCGATACCCGGTTTGTTACCATAACTTATAATTTGTCACGTACTTTTTCTTTCGTATCGACATGACATACTCAATAGCTTCTGGATAAATTTCATTTTCATCGCAAAAATACAATGTTGTTTCTTCTTGAACATCAACATCAGAATTTTCTGCATGCTGTTTTATTATTTCCTCCAGTATGTTGTGCAATTGCATTTCTTCGTCACTGATTAAAAACTTTGGTTCGCCGTTATTGCTTCGATTAAATGTCATTGAAAGTAAGGTTATTACAACTTTTGCATCAACAGGCATTTTTTAAATATATATAATATCCAATATGTACGAATAGTGAAAAGTCTGATATGAAAAGTCACGCAATCAAATTCTGAGCACAGAATTTTCGATGATAGTAAAACTAATTATTTTCAAGTAGTCTTAACAATTTTATGAACAATCTTTTATATGAATTGTACACTCCCGCCCAATAATCTTTACCCACCTGAGAACAAAACGACTATAACTTTAAAACTCCATATCTCGGCTGGAAATAAACTTACAGAGCTATGCGGCGGCTCATTTGAAAGGGTTTTTCGAGCACTTTTCAATGGTGTATAATAAAATCATGCTCAGATATTTCCCTTGCAGATAGGACGGCGAATATCAAAACAAAAATTACGAAATTTTTGCTTTTTCTTTAACCGCTTGCCATTTCGAGAAAAAAAATCGTAGAAAAATTCTAAACATAGCATTTTTTAGCTCTTTTTCTGCACTATCCAAAAAACTCATTCAAAAATAATTTTCGTCTATATTCAGCGATTATATGAGCATTTCATTCAAAAACAGCATCTATATTCATTGCTCTGTATCTCGGAAAATTCGAATTGTAGAAAAAAATTTTCTTGGAAGAAAATACTCTATTTTGTAAGTAGAATACGTGAACGAAATTTCATAATCATATTAAAACATTTTTTTTCAGTCGTAATATCAAGTAGTCTAATTTTTTCAATATTTCATTTTGGAATAATATGTAACGTCGGGCCGTTTATTAGCAATAAATTATTTTTTTTTCCTCATGTACTTTTGCGTAGCTTAAATTTTAACTCGGTAAACTTGCAAAGGAGAGCCTTCAGCTGCAGCAGCTGGAGGACAGGTGAAAATAGCCATCCCTTTATCGCGCGCTTTCCGAAGTTTACCTCGAACGATCGTAAAGTTTTTTTTGAGTAGGTTTAGATATAGAGTAAAGGAGCCGCGGAATTCCGCCTGCATCCTGTTATTCGATTTCACCCAAAAGATTTCCACTTTTAGAAGCCAAAACTTTTGCTATATAAAAAAAACCTTAATAACTAATTTTACATAAATGAATCGGGAAAATAACAGCATGATAGGAAAATTTCACAGCTTCTTGAAACCTCCCACACACTTTTTGATTAGAAACATAGTTGCCGCGCAATCATTGAAAATAACTCAAAGTTTTAAAATTACAAATTAGAAAAATGAGGTATATAGTCGAAAACAGTTACTTGAATGAATTTTAGCAAATCGGTTATACAGTCCACAATTAAATAATACCCCTTTTTTCGTTCCAATTTATTTAAACAACGAAGTGAGTTAATTAATTAAGTTACTAATTGTAAACATGTAGGATCAAAAGATTTTCGCGTAAAATATGTTAAATAATAAGGAACTTGCGTTATTTTTAAGAATTAATTGTAATAATTTTATATAATAAATAAAGTAATAATTATAAGAGAAACTGT